AATATTGTAAACAATTTGAAATCAAATTTTAAACATTAAATATATAATTATGTTCATTACTACTTTTACAAAATTTTAAAATATACCGGGAATAAGGATGAATTTAGAATAGTGCTTGTTCAATACCGCGATGATAGCATGGATTTAGTTTTTGTGTTTTTATACCACTGAGGTCAATAGTTAATTATTATAATGCTTAAAATAATAATATTTATAATTTTATGAATTATTCACTGTTGAGCTTTGTTTAAATTTGATTAGATTATTAAAAGTATCTGAAAGAGGCATTTAAAGAATGCTAACTGAGTATGCAAGCCAAGTAAAATACAATTAAAACTTTCTATAAAATAACTACCTTTTATGTTTGTGTTTACGGCAAATTGTACATACACCACCTCCTGATATAAACACACAATAAATAAAATAGCGATTTGAAGTCTATATAATCTGATATAACCAGTCGACTGGTATGTGGTTCTTGTCGCACGGTAGTGAGTGTGTATTATTGTTTGTAGTTGACATTTAATTTACTTTTACTGATCCAACATGGTCAGGTCTTGACCTAATATCCAATAAGTCATGTAACGTAGAACTGTTGTTATGAATTGAAGACATGTAGGTATGACATTGTTGCCGTGATGGTATCCGCCATTTGTAAGTCAAAGAATGTCTTTATACAAACAAGATATAATGTTTTACATTTGTTCAAATTCATTTATTAATTATTAATTTCAACTACTTAATGATAGACGATAAACACATATATATTCTAATATAGATAATAATAAAATATTAAATTTAATCGAAGAACTGATAAATTTTTAGATAATGGACATTATATCATATCCATAAAGCGGCTTTACTGAATATTAAAAGTAGTATATGGAATTACATATGCACATATTCTTCGTATAGTCTTAATAGGGTTATCTGCGAACTATTAAAATTTTATCAGTGATCATGTTTTAAAGAACTTTTCCGTATCAGTTTTCGTTAAATTTAATTTAGTTGGATTATACCATATCCATAAATTCGTTTGCGTGACTAAGCTTGGTTCTGTTCAAATTTTATTTATAGTTTTGAATAATACAATCTATTGAATCGAAAATAGCTTAATAGCCTATTAAGGTCCATGTTCCGTGTTATCGTTGTTTTTAGTTCCACACAATTGTTTTGTTACGTTCATTATAAATGAATTGCCATGGTATATGATCTAACCATCTGTTTATGCGCTCGGCTCGATCAAAATTAAGATGGGTATTATAAACAAAACTGTTATGTATTATGTATTTACTAAAGATGATTGTTTATATAGGTGGTTACCATGGATGCAGTCGTCGGTTTATATCAACCTTGAGGGTTCAACATTACAAAAGAGCAATTTTCAGACTACCAGATTAAGGCAAAATTTATTAACCATTTAAGACGTCGTACCAAGGATGAGAGATTTAGCACGCCATGTGCCAAGTCTTACTTAAGAAATGGCGTGAAATGGTGGGAATATTAGGCAACAACAGCAGCAAGTTATTGATTCCACATCAATTACCCTTATTCAGTAACTGTGCCGTCTGTATCTGGCCATAACTCTTTATTACGTGTAAATTAACAAAAAGCTTGATCGCAGTCTGTTTCTCCAGCTTCCTCCTCAATGCACACATCGATGCGACACCAACACCAATCAAAATTCTAATATTACTCCAGTCGTTGTTGTACCTTCAATTCCTTGTCATTGCAGAATCATGTACCGCGGGTAACGAATGTAATATTATCGGGTTCTTTATAATAGCAGCAATAAAAGACTAGAGCAATACGTAACTGAACGAAGTGGTTACCG